AAGAAAAGGACATTGAAACGAATTTACTTTGGGGTTGAGAGCGTTTCAGTTGAAATCCAGATGAAGTTTCTGTCTTGGTTGTAAATGTCAAGGACTCATCGTGTCGTGTGTTTCCCACGTGTTATTGGGAAATCATCTCTTCCCCTTTCTTCCATGTTGTACAAGCTTTGCTCATACCACTGACAAAGGGAAATGAAGAAACCACTGGTCTTCAGAAGCCTTTTTAACCAGACATGAGAATGTTGTTTTGCACAAAGCACTGTCTCTTCAGATTAATTAATTTGTTGTAGTATCTTTGTCTTTATACATAATTGACCCTTTATGCATTTAAACTGATGTTCTCTAACTCTGCATTTAAGTGATTTTGCATTTAATTTATGGGGGAAGAAGTTGACAAGAGGAGGGAGAAGGTGCTTGGTGGAGCTGGCTGATTACCCGGGTATTGATACTTGTGCTGCTTGGAGGAGAGCGGGGTTTTGGCTGACTGTGGTTCGCACAAGTTGAAAGTTGCTAGTCCTGGCTTGATAAATCCTGTTAAGTCTTGTGGGAAGTTGCTCATTCCTTGCATATTAATCTGGCCTAGACTAAACCCAAGAGCAGCCCCAGCTTTTTGGATCCGTTTATTCAAGATTAGAGATTCAAAACATTATTCTTCAGGACAGTAAATTTGGGGACAATGATTTCTCCTTTCCAGGGGTGCTCTTTGGTTGCAGTGAGTTTACCACAAAGCTGCGCACAGTTGTTTGGACTGTGCCAGCAATGCTTTGGTTAAAACTGGGATGGCTGAAAACTGAGGATCTTAATTTCTAATGAGTGTTTTCGCAGTGGTGCCTGAAGAAAAGCGTTGGGTTTTGGTGCCATTCACGTGGCTCGGGTGCGAGCACAGCAGTTGTCTGCAAACGCCTGCTCCCAGGGATTTCTACAGCTGCGTTTTTTTCCTATTTTTATAACTTGCATTTTGCTCTGGAGATTGTTTTTAATAAAAATAGCCATCCTCAGTCATGTGCAAAAGGTATGTGAAAGCGTGCTGAGCTCAGCTAAATTCTCCAGACACGTGGAGGAAGCAGGTTTTTCCAAGAGCTTTGAGCTCCAGCCTCAGGAAGGTTTATTTTTCCCTCTCGAGAAAAAAAAAGACATCACCATGGAGTGCAAACGGTGAATTCCTGCCTGTCCCTTCTCTCCCTGCAGTCTGTTCCGAGGGAGGAGGGCAGTGCTGATGCAGCTTCTCGTGCTCCCGTTCCCTTATCACAATGGTGATGCTGCTTTTTCTTGTCTACCAGTGGAAGGAATATCTTCCAGCACAACTCAATTATTAAAACAGCCTGTAGGGACCGATGATTTTTAAAAATTTTTATTTTTCTTTTTAATGGGATTTGCCCACTGGGAAATCAAGGATTGCTCATTCTCTTTAGGACACTTAAAAGGCCACCAGACTTCTGCTTTGGAGAGGACCCCATGTGGAGTACAGGCTGCCCAGAGAAGCTGTGGATGCCCCATCCCTGGAGGGGTTCAAGGCCAGGCTGGATGAGGCTTTGAGCAACCTGGGCTGGTGGGAGGTGTCCCTGCCCATGGCAGGGGGTGGCACTGGATGATCTTTAAGTTCCCTTCCAACCCAAACCATCCTGTGATTCTCTACTGGGTCCGTAGAGAGGAGGAGGGGATGGGAATAGTGGACAGCGTGTCTCGATGCACAGACTCCAGCTGCTGGTGTTTTCTGAAGCGCTTGTGAATAACGAATCTGTCTCGGTATAATTGCAGCTCAGTGGGGAAGGTGCTGATGTGACTGGGGGCATCTCTATGGGATGTTCTGGAGCTGGGGGGGAACAGATGCTCTTTTCCTATATGGGTCGCAGGGGTGACCTTCCTAGGGACAGACATCTCCCTTGAATTCAGGGTTTCTAGAGCCAAGGATGATCCATCTTTATTATTTTTTTCTCCCAGTGAATGCTTGCTCTAAGGATTCAGGTCTTTTGACAAAGCCCAATTAACTTGTGGCTCTCCTTGAGCCCTTTCCAGCTGGCTGCCTGTGGGAGGAAACCTGCTGCTGGGTTTCTGCTGCCTTGTCACAGCAACTGATAACAGGAAAGCTCTTACCCACGCCCCTGCCCAGTAAAATGCTCCTTCAATAACCTTACACCTGTATTCAGCTGTAGCTATTGCCTCTTGGTGGGGTGTAGGGGGGAAACTTTCAGCTTTCATTACCTCTCAGTGTTTATCTGGGTGTTTATTTTACTTACCTGTGCAAATGCCACCTTGTTCCTATCCTGTGGCTAAAAAAAAAAAAAAACCAAACCCATTTAAAATATCTGTGTTTGAAGCTCTTGTAGTTCTTGACAGCCCTGAAAGAGAATTTGGTTTAGAAAAGACACGGATGTTCCAGCCATGGAAAAGTGGTTTTCGGTGCTGGTACCTGAATTTTTTGACAGTCTTGTTTCTAGAAGAGCAGCTGTGCAAAGCTGCTGGGACTCTTGGTTCTGCCTTTGCAGTGGCCCGAAGACGTGCTCCAGTGCAGAGCTTGCAGCGTGCCCCTTCCTGCCGTCAGCGCTAACGGGGGGAGAGGAAACAATCTGCCACTGCCGGTATTTAATCCCATAATTATCCTCATAAGCAACAGCTTCCAGCTCCTCTCTCCAGTCCGGGTTAAGTGTCCCACAATGGCAGGATGTGCTGTGGGTGTAATTACAGGTGAGGGACAGGAAATAGTTTTTAAAGACCTCTGAACATTGACTTCCTAAGGCCCCACTCTTAAAAAGCTTGAACAGGAGAAGGGGTAAATTGATTTCTGGAGGAAGGAAGAGATGTTGGGATTTTTTTTTTTCCAGTTTTACCCTGGGTATCACAATTCCCTCCCCCCCCCTTTTTTTTTTTTTTGGTTAATCTGGATGGACTCTGCTCAATGGCTGAGATGCTCTCCAGAAGGGACCGGCCAGCTCTTGTCTGCTCTGTCGAAACTCTCAGTAGAAACCAAGGCTGAACTGCTGGCAGGAGGGATTGAGAGGCGGTATGGGAAGATCTGCGGCGTTCCTCTCTGCAAATTGCCCATCTGTGTCCTGCAAGCCATCGGCTCTCTGCCAGGGACTTGGTTTGGGTTGGTGTCGCTGGGTCCGTGTAAGGTTTTGTTTCTAAAGATGGGAGTCTGAGAAACACCAAAGCTGGGGAGATGCAAAGAAACTAAATGGATTGTGACATTAAATATCTTGTGGTCAGTTCTGCAGGGATGAGTAGCTTCATCTGACCAGCACTTTGGTGCTGCCAGGGATCAAAAATATTCATTTTCTGAGTCTTTTAAAGTCTGTTTCATCTTCCTCTATTGGGGCGAGGTTCTTTGCGCGTTTGAGGTGAAAGATGCCTGCTTATCCTGTCTTCTGGAGAGAGCAATGGGTTAAAAATGGGAAAATTGCGCTAAGTTTTGAGGCAGGCCAGCCAAAAGCAGGGCAGTCCTGGTGGGGAGAAGGGGAGGGCCTGGCTGATGGGCTGTTTGCAGCATGGGCCCTCTCCTTGCTCGGGCTTCCCAAGGTTCCCAAAGCAAGTCCTGCGTGTGGCGATCGCTGGGGACCAGGAACCTTCCCCAAACCACGCTTGGGTGGGCACGGGGTGACCCAATGAGCGTGGGAATGAGGATGAAAGGAAGGAGAGTGTTAGAGGAGGAGATGCTGAGGCTGGCCGTGACCTTCACAAACATCTCAAAAATGCCCTCCCCAAACACTGTGGTCCGAGCAGCTCCGACGCCAATGAAGAGTATGCTCCTGGTTACTCTGCGCTGCCGTAGTTGGATCCGGCTCTATGAAGTGCCTCATCCCTGGCTCAAGTGTGCTTCCAACCTGTCTCTCCTGGCAATTTCTATTATATCCAGCTGGGCATCTTTCTCCCTGAAGCGATGGAGGAGATGCTGTTCCCCCGGTAGGGATGGGACGTGTGGGCTCACTGTGGTGCTCTTTCTGCTGCAGAGCAGGGAAGTGACCCAGGAGCCGCGTAATGAACTGTTAAACGTGAGACGCCGACATTATGTGACATTATCCACCTGATCCCACCCTTCCCGCTGGGGCCTGCACTGCTCCTGCACTTCTTGTTGCTCACTGTCCCCTTTCTTCCTGCAGACCCCAGCGGCGGGAGTCTGGGGGTCCACAGTGACCTGGCAGGAACTGGGGCACAGGATGCAACCGCTAGTGTCGTGCATGGAGAATATATGGTGTATTTTGTCAGCTATGCCTGCTGCTGACACCATCGTGTGTTCAAAGGTCCAACCCAACGGTATTTAGATGTTTAGATGGTGTGGGTTTCAGAAGTCGGGTAATGATTACACCATGGGGTGGTTTTGGTGGCTTTGGTGGCACTGGGACAGAGCCTGTCCCCAATATGTGTGTTACCAGCAGGAGTTGAAATGTCACTGTCACTAAAATGCCACCTGCAGCCCAATGGCACATGCAATTAGTGCCACCACCAACAAGGTGAGGTCTTACTCGAGACAAGGACAGAAGAGGTGAGCCAGCCAGGCTCTCCAGTTGGACACAGATGGACTTTGCTGTGGCTTAGAGTGGCTCTGCCCTGGAGAAACGTGGACTTCTCACATGGCTTGCTGGCTTTTGAAGAGCCTCCGTGCATCCCAGGCTTTGGGATTGGGGGAAGAAGTAATGTTTTATGGTGCCAAGCAGAAACAAAATGAAGGTTTTTGCTCCTCCTGGAAGACCTGAGCATCTCCATGGAGCCACTGCAGGCTCTCGGATAGGAACGCTGGGGTTTGGAGGCTCAGCGACCATGCGGAGGAGATGGCACTGGGACTTGCTTGCTGGGACAAACAACTTTTTAGCTGATCCAGCTGCAGGTGAGCCCATCATCTCCCTGCTGCAGCAGGCGTTGCCCCGCAGAGGAGAGGGCAGCATGTGCAGTGTTTCCCAAGCCTGTCCGGCTGCGCCACGTTTGCTTCCGCGTGGGTTTATAAAGAGGAGGTGCAGAAGCTTTCTCTGCTCCTTCCAGCCTCTCCCAACGGTGCAGCCTGTGCTATGGCTGGCCTGAACGTCTCCCTTGCTTTTTTTTTCCTGGTTGTTGGGGTGTGCCAGGTGCTCAGGAGGATTTCCAAGAGGTTTCTGTCTCCTGGAGCATATGGCTGCCTTGCCAGAGAACTTGCTGGCTCGTTACAGTTGTGCATGAGCTGCCTGGAGCTGAGGATGCTGTTGGAGGTCGGCCCGTGGGGGGGTGGCTTTGGCCCCGACGTGGTCCTCACTCTGCTCTTCCTGCTCTTCGTGCTTCATGGCGCCTCTTTTGATGGAGCATCTGCCAACCCCACCGTCTCTCTCCAGGAGTTCCTCCTTGAGTCCAGCTTCTCCGCAACCATTGCCAAGCTGCTGGCCCAGGGCGCAGGGATGGGGATGGGTTGGGCTGTCACCAAGCTCTACTGGTCCTGGGAGCTGACGCATTTCCACCTCATCCAGAACCTGATGGCGTCAGAGTGCAGCTCTTCCATCCACACGTCCCTGCACCACGCTGCCTTTGTGGAAGGGACCTGCTCTTTCCTCTTCCACCTTGTCCTTCTCAAGTTGCAACAGAGTCACCCGATGTACCGGGTCCCTGCCCTGGCCATGACCGTCACCCTCCTGACCTACATAGGTGAGCAGCACCTGCCTTTCTTAGAAGTCATGTAGAAGAACACCTAATTTATGAGGGAGGAACAGTCCCTTTTTCATCTTCTGGGACTTGAGAGAGAACGATTATTAGAGATGTTTGTTTCCTACTTATTTGGGGCAAAATTCATTTTGGGATGATGGGCACAAGTGAAATGTCAGCACATAAGAAGCCGTAGCTTTCCCCAAGACTGGAGAACCCCTCAGTCCCATGCTGAGCTCTTCTGCTTCCCGCAGAGCTCAGGGAAACAAGGGGGGATTTCCCTGTGTGCTGCTATTACACAGTCTGAGAGACGCCGGCGCTGCGCAGCCGCAGAGATGCTCCGGGGAGGCAGGAGGGGTGGCAGGTCTCCTGCTCCAGCTCTTTGTCAGCCTTTCAAAGGCTGTGACTGATGGCCACGTTTCTCTTCCCACACAGCCGGACCGTTCACAGGAGCCTTCTTCAACCCTGCCCTGGCCACAGCTGCCACCTTCCACTGCTCGGGGAGCAGCTTTTGGGACTACGTCCAGGTTTACTGGCTAGGGCCCCTGGCGGGTAAGAGCTGGGAGGTACCGAGGGGCAGGGGCTGGGATGGGGGGGCAATGGGCAAGGTGGGCGTAAGGCAAACTGCTCCTGGCAAAGGGCTGAACTTGGGTGTTGCCAGTGGCAAGTGTCCTGTTCTGTCCCCCTTCCCTGTCAGTCGAGTCATCCCTTTGCTGTCCATTTTTTTAAAAAAATCCAAACCCTATGTGGTTTATGGCCCTTTCGGTTTGAAAAAAGCCTCAATATGATGTTGAGGACACAATGGTTAAATTCGCCTTGAAGTAATCTAGCGAGGGTCTTTCAGATGCTGTCAGTGGGGACTTCAGTGGTGCTGAGCTACTTTTTGGTCATGATGAAGGTTGGGGCAAGGGCCTGAGAATCCCTGCTGCTCAGGCACAGGGAGGGCGGAGGTGCTGGATGCAGCACCCAGAAAGGCTCCGTGCTCTCATTTCAGGGATGCTCGCTGCCCTCCTGCTCTACCAAGGTAACATCCCCCGACTCTTCCAGAAGAACCTCCTTTACAGCCAGAAGAGCAAATACAAGATCCCCAAGGCGAGGGTGGCAGCGGCACACGCGGAGGGTGATGAAGCACGGCAGAAGAGGAAAGGGGAGAAGAGCAACACCGAGCCTCATGCCTGAGCTGCAGCCAGGGGCCAAGGCGGTCCCTGCAGCCCCTCTCCTGGGAGCAGGTTCCTGACACGGAGGATTTTGCGGCTCATCCCGCCCAGAATCCATCCTGCCTGTTCTGTCCCTGCTGCAGGTTTATTTTTTTTAAAGCATCGCAAAGGAATGGGCCAAGCTGGCCTTGGAGGATGTCTGAATCCCTGAGCTCCTTTGGGAACAGCTTTGAAAATCTCCCTGGAGAGCCCAAAATGTTTCAAGCCTGCATCTCTGGCTCGGTGGGGGAAAAAAACCCAATGCTTTTGTATACATTGTTGGCTGTTTTGCATTGACAGGAAGCTGACAGAAATTCAGGACCATTACGTGGGTAGCTGTGAGCCATCATGCAGTGCTTGAAATAATCCGACTGGGTCTCTTGCAGCTATAAAAATACAACATAAACTCGTAACCGCCTTGGAAATGTGGGAAGAGGAGGAAGCAGGCTTTGATCTTTCAAGTTACTAAATGGATATTGGTCAAAAATCGGTGCTCTTGGAGTTAAAACGAGGTCCTTGAATTGCACAGGCTGAACCTGGCAGGTCTTGGATAGGAATTAAACATGCTTCAGGACAAGGGAGTTGACTGGCCACAGGAGCCCCGGCTCCTCTGTGACGTGGTGCTTAGCCTGGGTTTCGTACGCTGCAAGGCACCAAGAAACGGTGCACAAAGGGTCTGTGCTTAAAAACCAACTCTTGGAGTTAAAACGAGGTCCTTGAATTGCACAGGCTGAACCTGGCAGGTCTTGGATAGGAATTAAACATGCTTCAGGACAAGGGAGTTGACTGGCCACAGGAGCCCCGGCTCCTCTGTGACGTGGTGCTTAGCCTGGGTTTCGTACGCTGCAAGGCACCAAGAAACGGTGCACAAAGGGTCTGTGCTTAAAAACCAAGCCCGGGGCAGCCGGGACGCAGCCGGTGTGGGTGAGCAAATGCATCCCCGGGTTCCTCTCTGTTTACGGGAAATACTCCTAAAGATAAAATAACAATTTGTGGAAATAATAATTAAAAAGAAGAATGTTGTGATTGGCATTAAGGTGAGTGATGTTATTCCTGGGATCTCTGCAGGGGGAGATCAGCCCATCTGATCCCCAAAAATGGGAGATGCCATGCAGATGTCCAAACCAACTCTGCCCTGCTGGTTGCTTGCTCTGGAAGGGGGGTAATTTGGGGGAAATGCCTGCTTAGGTCCACGGGGCTCCCTCCAGGCAACGCTGGGGCTGGGGCACCCCGTGGGTACTGCACCCAGGGGGTCTCTCCATGGGGGAAGAGCAGGGGCTGGGGAAATCCCATGTGCAGCATCCCTGGAGCAGGGTATGGCTGGGTCCCGAGCTGCTGCCCCGAGGTGTCCCCTGCTGAGAACAGGCAGCTTCTGCATTTTGCAATTTTGCAGGACTTCTCTGGGAAGATTACTGAGTTGAATATATTCCTGAGGCACCACGGCTTTCTGGTGCAATCGGCAGGGTACGTGCTGTGGGGGAGGCTGAGCTTTTCATGCAAGTGGGTCCGGGGGGCACATGATGCTCAGGCTGTCCAAGTGTCCCTGCCCTCGGTCACCTCAGCGGGAGCTCGAGCAGGGAAGATCGGCTTCTATTTTCCAAGTCGCAAACAGTGAATAGGGAAGTGGCACCTGATTAAAATCCAGAGTGAAAGTGTCAGACCTGGGTTTGGTACCCGGACACGTGGTGTCCCCTGCCCCGGCTGCCAGCCCTGCTCCTCCCTGCACCCCCTCATGTCCCCTGTGGGTTTTTGGGGGACAACCCTGGCGACGCTGCCCATGGGATGCACACCTCCCTTACTCCGGTGTGGGATTCCCCTCTGGGGTGACCCAGAGACCACCCAGGAACCCAAAGGAGAGCTGGACCTCTGCAAACCACGAGACCACACCGTGTCCCAACAGGAGAAATGAAGGAAGGGGCCAACGCAGCGATACGTGGACACGCCTGAGAGATGAAACTTTATGGAACAATCAACACCGCGAAACCCATGCAGCAAACACCCCAAAACTGATGCCCCTGCATCGTGCTGGGCCGGATGCTTGGAGCTGCCTGGTCCCTTCCGGGGAAGGGCGGTGGGAATGCAGTCTGGCGTTTATCCTGGTCCAACAGGGAGCAGGAGGGGAGGCACCTTCAGTGGAAACAAAAAAACTCTGAGGCTAAAGCTCTGCTGGCTAAAGGAGAGCCTGGGATGCTCAGATCCCCTTAGCAATTTTTTCTGAACCTCTTTTAGTTTGGAAATTGTGCTGAAAATCCTGAGATGGGGCCTCCGCTGATTCAAACTGATTTGTTGGCTCTGCTTTTGATTTGAGGATAAGTGTATGATGTGAAAAGTAAGGTTGGCTAGCTCACCACCACCCATTCTTGTGGTGTTTTAGCCCAAGCAGAGCGTAGAACGTTCCCCCAGCCGCTCCAAGCGGTGGGTTGGGATGCCTGGCTGCAGAGATGCTCACGAGATGGCTCCAGGACACATGGGTACTTGCAGTCAGTGTCAGCATCAGCTCCGGGGTGGGATGCTCATCCTATAAACGCAGCGTAGGAGTGCAGCATCTGAAGGCAGTGTGTAACCACACAAGTCAGGGCAAAAAAATGCAGGATTCTCCCTCCCCCCCCAGGACATTTTCAGATGTTTGAGGTCTGTTTCTTGGGCTGCTGGGGAGATATTGTCTACTGGGCAGACTGATGTAATTAGGGAGAACTTAATAGAACTGAGGGTGAGATGGGGAATATTGTTATTTTTAATTAAGGTGCTGCTTTTCCAGCACAGTAGCATTAAAGGCGTACTGGAGGAGAGCCACAGCTGGACAGACAGACTTGTTCCCAAGCTGTAAATCAAGCTCTGCAGCTCTGATTTACAGCTTGGCCCTGCACTGTTGCGGTCTCTGGCGTGGGGCCGAGGACTTGGGCTGCCCTCCTGGCTCTGCTCCTCGCTGCCAGCGTCAGTCCTACACGGCACAAAGCCCCGGATCACCTCCTCCGAGGGTTTGGCCACTGGTCGGGGCTTTGCCCTCTTTGCCCAGGACCTACCACGGGAGAGTCACGTCCCGTCGAGCCCCTGGGATCCCCCGTTGCAGCCCATCCTGCTCCACGGGGACAGCAGCGTGCAGCACCCAAGAGCTTGTGCACAGTCCTGCACAGACCCAGGTGGCCGGGGGCTCTCGCGGGCAGCTGCCTGTCCCCCTGCCAGACCCCGAGCCCAGGAGGCGGGTGCCTCTCAGCAAAGTTGGCTGGAGGGGACAAGGAGGCTCAGTTTTGGGTGCCATCCAGCCTGTGCTGAGAGGGAGCGGGCTGGGGGGTTTCGGGGGGCTTCTGGGCAAACTGCTTCTTGTAGAGAGCACTGCTGTACTGCAGCTCCGGGGTCACCAGCCGCCGGCACATACGCTCCGTCTCCTGATCCAAGCCCTGCTTGAGGTTATAGCCCAAGATCTTCGCGTTGCCGTGCTGGAGGGGCTGGAGGGAAGAGTCCTTGATGTCCTTGGGGGCCACGCTGCCTACCCCTTGCAGGCAGGGCCTCGCCAGCTCTGCCCCCCGCTTTTTTTTTGGAGCGCCTTCACTTCCCGGCACATCCGCTCCCTGCCGATGTCTCGGTCGATCCTTTCCCAGAAGGTCCTGTTGAAGTGGGTGTAGATTTCCCAGTCCAGCCTGTTCCAGTCCTTGATCTTCTCCACGATGGTGTCCGAGAGGGGGGCCTTGGTGCTGCTGTCCCGGCTGTTGAGCGGGAAGGAGACAACGCTGTCCAGGTCCCAGCACAGCATCTCCTTCAGCAGCACCATTGACTCGTCGAAGTACTCGGAGATGAGGAGCAAGTCAAAGGACGCCTCGATGGCCCTCAGCATGAGTTCCACCCGCTTGACAGAGACTTCTCCATCGGGATTGAAGCCAAAGTCGAACGTCATGAGGTTCCTGGCGTAGTGGCTGTCGCTGTTGGCGGGGTTGTAGTAGCGGTAGGGCTGGCTGAGGAACTCCTCCAGGCTGCGGGGGCGGGAGAAAGCCGATGTGCCCTTGTAGTACATGAAGGAGGACTCCATGAGCTGCACAGGGTTCCTCAGGATGGAGAAGTAGATGGCGGAGCTGGGCACCACTTTCTGCACCTGCAGAGGAGAAAAAGGAGGTTTTTAAAGGTGGGGTAGGGAGAAGGGACCTGCTCGCTTGCAAGCCTGGGCTCTGCTGGGAAGCAGGAACGCTTGCTGGGGTGGGAGATGGTGGGTGCTGGGGAGGGTTTCAGGGTGCAGCTCACCAAAGTTTTTTGTTTGTGTCAGCTGCGGGGGAGCCCCAGAAGAGGTACATGGGGAAAATGGTGACCAAAGCTCCCAGCTACCTGCTGCCACAGCTGGGTGGCCTGTCTGGGCTGTCTCCTTGCCTTTCCCCTGATCTGCGTGTCCTCAAGTGGCATCCAGGTGGGTGGATGCTGGGCACGGCTGACCTGAGCTGATGCGCTTAAGGAGTTCTCCTCTTGCAGCTGGTGCCCTCTGGGCTTGTCCATGGAGCAAGACACCTTCCCAGGGCCCACCAGACAAGAACTAGACGATATCTACTGACTGCTCCAGATGCTGTCCACTGGCTTGGCTTAGTTCGCAGCACAACGATTCATCAAACCTGTCTCCAGAAGCTCTCAGGAGACGCCCACAAGATGCAAGGTACCTGGGGGCAATCCTGTCTGCATCCAGCTCCATCCCCAAAGAGTTTACACATTCTCCAGGTGTCCCAACTTGCTCCCCACAAGCCCCTCTCCCCCCAACCCCATTTGCCCCTCCCAAGGCATCGCAACTTTGCCCGTACCTCTGGCCGCAGGAATCGCATGTGGTGGCAGAGGATGTTGAACCGCCGAGGGCTCCCGGGGTTGAAGCCCTCCACAAACTTTGCCAGGAAGGGGCGTGGGTAGAAGAGCTGGTTGCCACCCCCGCTGGGGAAGGCAAAGGTGAGGTTGTGTGTCTCGCCGAAGCGGAAGAGGACGTTCATGACAGTGCTGCTGGCACTCTTGTGGACTTTTAGGAAAACAATGTCAGTTTTGGGCTCACAGGTCTCTCCTTGAGAGGAGACCCTTTTGACCTGCTGGCCTTCTCCAAGAGTCACTTTGTCAGCCATAGAGACTTCTGTCCAGCTTGGGAAGAATTCCCTCCCCGGGTCTGTCCTGTGAAAGTCCTCTGCCTGTGGAGGTTGAGCTGAACTTGGTACGGTGTGTCTAAGTTTTTTGTAGGGAACCCATGGCTTGATGCTGAGTCTGGCTCTGCACCACTGCCTGCGTCGCTCCTGGTGGTGACGTTCTCCTGAGCTCCTCTGCATTCGCCCTGTTTGCAAAGATTATGAACTTGCTGGCGACAGCATTAGCATCTCCTAAAACTGTGGAGAACCTCCCAGGAAGACTCAGAGAAAGACCCTCTCTGGTTGCTTTTCTCCAGCCAGGAATCTGGGATTTCAGCCTCATGGATGAAGGATGGGCTTTCACCTTCTTGCTGCTCTCCACGGGCTGCCAGGTCCAGTATTCCTCTTGGCTGCCCGGGCTGCTTTCCAGCAGGGTTGCCTGTCTGAAGTCCAGAGGCACATGAAAAATGTCCTGTGTGCTCTCTGTGGAAGTGGGGTTTGGCATGGCTTTCCTCCGCCAGCGTGGGGTATTGTCTTCCCACAGCAGTTCAGGGGTCTGGAGGGCATAGCCCAGCCTCTTCTGGCCATGGTCTGTGGTCTGCTCCAGGGCACGCTCCAGCTCGCACCGGCAGTTTCTGGAACAAGGAAGACGTGAGGCAGAGGATGGAAGGCATGTGCAAAGAGGACAGCTCCTCTGCAGCTCAACGAAACCCCCCTGCAGACACCCTAAAGTGCGTTCCCCCATCTTTCTTGGGGTGGGTGGCATTGCTGGTGGGGCTGGGACTTGACCGCTTGGCGCTATGGCCCTGGGAGGTCAGGGTAGGTGCATGGAGAGAAGGATGGGTCAGGAGCAACATGCTAATGCCCCTGTCCCACTGGAGCACTGTGGGCTGGTGGAAAGGGGCAGAGGAAGAGAAGAGATGAGACGATGGCCCTGTAAAGCTGGAGGAAAGTTAGCAGATGACCCCAAACTGGGAGGACTGGGAGGTTGCTCAAGGGCTGTAGGGTTTTGAGCCCAGCAAGGACAAAGTCCAGGGCTAGATCCAGAGCAGGTTCAGCTCTGTTCAGAGCATAGGGGTTGGGCATGAGAGCCCCAGAGGGGTCCTCTCCCACCTGGATTTTCCTCCTTGTGTAAAGACAAGACCGTTGGGTGGTTTTCAGGGGGACAGGTTTTGAGCCCACCTCAGTGGTCAGCGCGAGGCTGGAGGAGGAGGTGCAGGTTTGCAATCCTGCCTGGGACCTACCTGGGAGGCTGCAGCTTCTCCACAACTTGAAGCATGACCAAGAGGAGGATGAGGAGGCTGAAGAAGACCCAGAGCCGACCTGGCTGGCACCTGTATATCGCTTTCAACTTCCTGCAAGGAATCAGACGTTTCAGACTATTAGTAGGTAGAAGAAATGGCGTGTGTGAGGCAGAGGGGAAAGAAGCCTTGAGACTTTTTAAATTATTTTTTTTTTTAAGGTAAGGTCCCGTTTTCATGGGTGGATGAGGTGCAGAGGCAGCGATAACCAATGAACCTCAGAGGCTGTGCTGGAGCGGTGTAGCCTGGTGGAAATTTCCAGCTGGGACACAAATATCTCTCTGAAAGGTAAACAGTGATAACCGTAAAGGCTGCTCAGAGACGCCTTACCGGCACAGCCTGAGCTCCCTCCTCGGCAGCTGGGGCAGGCATTTGCCCTGCCCTGACCGGCCTAGAAATATCTGGACCCTATCTTTATAAACAAAGACAATAATCCTTTGGTTTCCTTGCTCTCCCCTTCTGCCATTGGAGGTGATTGCCACCTGTGTGGGGACATTCAGGCCACAAAAACCATTGCCTCAGGACTTCTGCTGTTTGTAGGGCAAACCCTGGGGGAGTCTGATCATAGTCTTAATCTGGAGGGGAGCAGTTGGAGGACTAAGCTTCCTGGAAAAAAGAAGTAGTTTGCATTTAATTTCTGATGGTTTCTATCCAGGAAACCTGTTGTTGTCTAACAGGAGATGGCTTGTACTGAGAATCTGGTTAAATCTCCTGCTGAGGGCTCCTCCTTGGGTGGGAGTCCAGCCTGCAAGCCCCAGGCATCTGCTCTCCCCTCTCTGAGCAGGCACCAGCTGCTTTGCTGAGCGGGGAACAGAGGGATCTAAACAGAAGGAATTAATGAGAGCAGAAATTTGGGCAGACCCTGCTTGGAAGCCACATTCCAACAGCTAATCTGTGCTTGTTGGTGTTACCCACTTCCTTCAGCGGTCAGTTTTGGACGAAGAGAATGGGTCTGGGATTGCACAGACCTGCTTGTCCCGGAGTTTCTTCATCTCCGTGGTGCTTTATCATCTCCTACACTGGGCAGGCTTGTGATGTGTGAGAAGTACGAGCTTGATGGGCTACCAATGGCAGCAACAGGGGCTGGCTGAAGTGGTCACAGGCATCGCATTCGTACTGGTCTGGAGATGGGGTTTGCTATTGAAAAAGTGGATTTGTTCCAGAAAAATCGCCGACTGTTACGACTAACTGTAGTTTGCTTATGACAGCAACTACTTCCAATAGTTGTGCATCGGTTTGGACACTCCGTGGTACAGTTCTGCCCTGCTCTCAACATTGTCACTTACCGAGTTGAAACGCTAAGCTCCTCCTAGGAAATTTTTAACATCTGAAGTACTTGGGGCTGCAAAGGCTGGGAAGTCTTAGGTCATGGCAGAGGATTCAAAAGGCATGTAATTACTATCACGGTAAACAAGCTCGTTGTCAGCAGCACGGCATCCCCAAAACCTGATGGCAACCTGATGGCACAAGGAGAGCCTTGTACTGTCAAAGATAAATGGGGATGACAAGCAATAGATCAGAAAAATGCTAGATGCTTAAACAGCGCTTCAAATGCCAAGATACAGCAAAGGGAGAGGGTTGAAGCAGAGTCTCGGGGCTTTCCCAGCGCTGCTGCAAGGCTTGTTGAAATGCCCTTGTGTGGAAGACCACTGATGGCCAGAGAGACCAAAGAGGGAGAAGGCAGTGAAGGAGGAGTCACTGCAGGATGAAGTGATGCCGCTGGACAGATCTTGTTGAGACTTGATCCGTCTCTCCCCTCATGCAAGGCAAAGCTGATAAGTTTGTCTGCCTGGCCAGGCTAAGAAATGAGGCAAGAAGGGAATGAAGAGCTAACTACCTGTGACATTTAGTGATATACCCAAACCCTCTCTTAAGGAGATCTGCACGAGCACCCAGCAGTGAAGGCAGAATGATGCTGTGCTTCCCCGGCCAGCGGTGCTCAGGTAGGTGGCACCTGCTGCTACTCTGGTATCGGTATTTTGTGCAGATATAACTCTTGACTTGCTTCCACAGAGGTTCCTAGTCGTTGCTAAACTTTCAACCTGTCTGTGAAAGATCCAGGTCCTTTTGCTGCTAGCCTGCTGCCTCTTTTGAGATGGCCACCGTCTTGGTTGAACAGCCAGTGGAGAACACACAACGCGTTGCTGGCTGCTTGGGTCTGCTCAGGCTAGCACAGAGCCAGAGCTCTTCCTCCAGGCTGGCTCTGGTGGGACGTGCGTGCATCACAGTGGGTGTGCTGAGAAAGGGAGAGCCGTGGTGGCACCGATGCTTGCACTGAAGATGCCGAGAAGGTGCACTGAAGGCATCAAACCCAGGACAAAATGGCTCATGCAGTGTGAAAGCCTTTGTCTCAGAGGCTGGAGCAGCTGGATGATTTGTAAGTGGATGGGTCTTCAAAAGGCTCAACTGCTTTCCATGGTAACTCCTTCACAGCCTTCTCTGTTTAATATTCCAGGATGAGATTATGGGCATGGGTGTCTTGGGCCAGAGTTAAGTACTTGAGATCAAAGCACCAGGAAGATGTTCGAGACACACTCAGAGCTGGCGGGAGCCAACACTGCCCCGTGGGGCAAGTCAGGCTGTGAGATCAACCTGCAGAGTCTTTGGAAATGCCTCTGGCTACGGGCAGGGTACAGCCAAAAAGTTCCCGCAGATCAGAGCCTGTGTGCTGTCTCCCCCAAAAGTGACAAAGCAGGGTGCAAAGATGGATGCAGCACCCCAAAGATGCCTTTGGCTGCCAGGGCTCAGCAGCAGAGCCACAGCAGTTGAATCCACCTACGCTGGCTCCATGGATTTAATCAAAACCCAACACGTTGGTCATTTATTTGCAAGGGATGATGCCCTCGGCCGTGTCTCACTGCCTGCTTCTGGCAGGGGAGCGGGTGCCTGGGGTGCTGCTTGGAAGCAGGCGCCGCTTGATTGCAGCAGAACTGCAGATTTCCCCTCCATTTTCTCCCCTCTGCTTGAAGCAGAGGATGATCTGCTTCCCTCTGACCTGTGCCCCTTCCCTGTCCAACACAAAAGTAAGCGCATCCGTTGGGATGGGGCTGTGGTCAGCTTCTGCTTGCTGAGCTGCGCCAGCGCAAGCACGGCCGGGCACTGCGGGAGGTGCTGATACTGGGTTCACCGGGCAGAGAGGTGGCAGAAAATGATTTTATTGATTTGCTGTGGCTAGATATGCTCCCAGCAGTGAGCGATGTTGCACGGGGAATTAATGTACACAATACGTACACCAGCAATAGCCCGCTTTCTCTGACCAGCGATTGGAGCCATTTTCTTCACTTGTGTTGCAATAAATGAGAAAACGGGGACAACGGTCTGCAGGACGGTAGTGCAGTGAGGGCACAATGGCACTGCCTGCTGGTGTCGGTGCCCAACCTACCCTTGAAACAGCCAGGCTAGGAGAGCCCCTGAGCCCCCCAGAACCGCAGCAGGATGTGCAACGCCCCAGATGCTGTGGGCGCACGTGGAAAGGCTGTCCTGCCCCCAAACTCTCTCCCCCAGCACAAGGGCACTGCCACCAAGTCAAGCCATGCCCTTCTCTGCTCCCGGTCCATCCTCTCCAAAATCGAGGCTGGGGAAGAGTGCACCTCACTCTAGATGCATTCCCTGGGTTGGCCATGTAAAAGATTTGCAAAGAGACGTGTTTCTGTTCCACATGTGCTCCGCAGGTGAGCGTGCGGAGCTGGGAGAAGCGAGCCCGCACCTGGGGCGAGGCAGGAGGGATCAGCATCCCGCTTGCCCTTCCGAGGTCTTTGCCATTCTTCTTCCTTTGTGGTATCCGGCCTCACAAAGATGCTATTTTCCTGCCTAGCATGCAGGGGAGCAGTGCTGCCCTTGGAGCTTCAGTAGAAGAGACACCCCCATCAACCCCAGCCTCCCACAGCCATGTGGAGCAGGAGCGCTCCTCTGCCCGTCCCCGTCATCACTTCCATCTCCAACCACTTCTCAACACAGAGGGACCTACAAGGACATGATCTCAGGGTAGGATGGAAATAGAATTTTACTTAAGGAAGTAGTATTTTACTTAAGAAAAAAATAAATTAAAAAATACACTTACGTGATCAAATACCTTCTGAATTTCAGCATGGTGAGCTGGAGCCTCGGCTGGGGAGAGGGTGGTTATCATCAGACTGGGAGAATGGAAAGCAAACAGCCGGAAAGCAACCAGCGGGGCCCTGGCTTGCGTGCCTGCGGCTGCCAGCCCCTCCCCGGGGGGAGCGACTGGAACGGACCTTCCCACTGGTGCCCTGCTCTCCAGCACCTGCCCAGGGAGTCACCAACCTCCGCTCTGGTGAGTGACACATTTAGACGGCCACGGCCTCGAGAGCTGCTGGCAGCGAGCTCCATCCACCCTGGGCTGGGGTCATGGCAAGCCTCAGCTTCCTCCTTTGCTTCCCCCCGACAGACTCGCTCCTCCAGGCACAGCATTTAACAACCTGCAGCTCCAGGCACCGCTCCACACGTTGATGTCTTGCATTTATCAGCTTTAGGCTGGACTCCCATGGTCCCCCAAGCCAGCAAAAAGTCCTCAACCCCCCGTGCTGGGACTGTGCTGTGCCAGGGTGACGAGCAACAGGACAGCCCTGCTAGGAAGCCAACCATTTTCCAGTACCAGTAGAAAAGATGGTCACTAGGTCTGCACCTTTATGGTGGGTGGACAATGTAAGACAACTCAAAGGAAGATGGGGAGGCTGTCCTCCATGATGGAGGTCCACAGGCGGTTCTTTGACCAGGGTCTCCTTCCTCTTCGGTAGCTTTTCCTCCACATCCTTCCCCTTTGAGGCTAATCCCAGCATCCTGCATAGCACCAGCAACACCCAGCCATGGCTTTGCATGACCAGGGGCCCTAGGACCAGGTAGCAGGACCACGTCCTTCTCATATTTTGGGCACCAGACACTTGGGGCAGTGGTGGAGATGGTGGATGTGTGGCTGTGATGTGCACCACGAGGACCAGGGGCTCAGAAGACCCACTCTGCAGGACCAGGCTCCCCACGTGTCTCCTGGGACTGGTGGAGAGGACCCTGGTGATGCATGCTTTCCCTTCACCCAT